GGCCTAAAGTTACACCCTTAGTTTCATTTGCAGGTTGATGTTTTACAGTGGTTGATTTATTTTTGGTTCTGTTTTTTCAATTAACAAAATATTCAAAAGGCCTTTTAATCAATTAATCTTTAACAGATTAATTAAATGCTACTGGAAGTTGCTAACAAGTTGAAAATACACTGCGTGCTCCATTTATTGTACCAAAAAGTCAGATTTGAATGTATAATATCGTATCCACCCCCATGCTTAATTTCATTCGTCTGTGCTGCTTTTAAAATTAGAAATACCTAATTTAGTACAAAACCTAAAGTAGAGCAGGAAAAACAAGATGAGGCACAAGATTTAAACTGTCCAAATTTTGCACAAACATCAGGGTGAAAGTGTCATTATATTAAACACTGTTGTTACATAAAGAGCTGCCTTCAGTACATGTTTTTATCAGTGGGTACAGCTTAATGTTCAACTCAACAACTTCAGGAATCCCTAATATAAATTATGTTCTGCTGACCATCAGAATKTGCACAACTTTGTGGCGAAAAACATCATTAAAGTAAAATTAGTGGCAGCTGCTGTAGGTTTGAAAACTCAGCAGAAACAAACGTGAGACAAAATATCAGCTGGCTGCACAAATTTAAACCTCTTTGCAGCCTGAGAGGGTCCACAATGCTCCATCTGTGGGTTCAAACTGGTCTCAGGACCTTTTGGCCTCAGGCCCCAGGTCTGCAGTGACTTTAATCAGGGGTCCCACTAGGACCCTCAGGTTCCTTCACACGGTGGTCCAGCAGACTGCAGGGCCATGGGCGAGGCTGCATGCGGTGCAACACATCACCACACGCTCGTCAGAACTGTACCGCTGCCTACAGGGGCCCCTGAGGGTCATAAAGGACATTACACCCCCCACAACACACACAACTGGCTGGTCTTCATGATGCCTGAAAGGAAATGTTTTTTTCTCTCAGCTGGAGACGTTCGTTTCAGAACAACAGGAAATAAATTGGCTGAGAATTAAAATACGTCACTTTTACCATCTGCTCCTGGTTTTTCAGTGGAGTTTGGGACAGAATCTCTGCAGCTTTTAGGATTTTACCTGAATAAATAAACAGAATATATCAAATAAAGGGAAGCTTTAAGAAGTTTAAGAAATAATACAGTCATGAGTCAATCATTCAGAATTTAAAAACAAAAAAAAATCTCTACTTTTAGCTAAAATGTTTTGATTTTTAACATTTCTACCTGCTGTTACGGATGAGAGGCTGAAGGAAAGACCTTGAAGCTTCACCTCTCAGGTGAACTCTTGGTTTGGGTCGGCCTAATAAAAGATTCAGGGCGACGGCTTTTTTCTGTGCGATCAAAGSTTTCTCTCCTGGTGGTGGTGGTCYCATCAGGAGGACAGTTCTTCATTTGGTTTGAGAGGTCATTAAATGATTCGAGTAATAAAACGATGTGGATCTGAATATTTCACAGCCTGTGTGCCCACTCAGGTCTCAGTCTAATTAAAACTCAGTAAAAGATGTTGAACTGACCCGATGGGTTGTGCAAACCACCATAAATAAAATAAAACAATTATTTATATAGAGACATTTTACTGGTTTTTGCTCTTTGATTTGTGTGATGATTGGTGTTTTCTGCTCCCACCCTGATTGGTGTTCCTGAGACCCACCCTCTGCAGCTGTGGCTGATTTCCTCTGATTGGCTTCACTGGTATTTAAGACTCAGTCTTGTTTCAGGTCTTTGTTGTGCTTGGTGGGGAGAGAGTGGGGCGCWGAGAGGAAAGCGTTAAAAACAATATATACGGGTTTAATAAGATCTGTATTAGATTATGGCAGCCTTGCATTTGGATCAGCATCAGAAACACTTCTTAAAAAATTAGACATTATTCAGTATCAAGCCTTGAGGTTGTGTACAGGAGCCATCAGAACAACTCCAATCTCAGCTTTGTTAGTTGAAATGGGGGAAATACCACTTTACCTTAGAAGATTACAGTTAAGATTATCTTACTGGAGTTATTTAAAGGGTCATTATGAAAACCATCCATGCCAAGAAATTTTAAAACCTAGTTGGGAAAAGGGGAAAAAGAATTTAAAATCCTTTGGTTGGGAGATAGAAAATGATGTGAAAATTTTTCAATTATCATCCATAAAAATGAGTGAAACAGTTCCTATGTCACTGGTCCATCCATCTCTAATGAAATCATTGTGGATTTATCATTGTTGAAGAAGAGGGAAAAAGGAAATTTTTCAGAATCATGCTC